CAGGGTGCAGCAGTGCCAGGGTGAGCTGTGCTGGGGACAGCCCAGCTGTGCAGGGGGATAGACCAGCTGTGCAGGGGATAGACCAGCCCAGCTGTGCAGGGGGACAGCCCAGCCCAGCTGTGCAGGGGGATAGACCAGCTGTGCTGGGGACAGCCCAGCTGTGCAGGGGGACAGCCCAGCCCAGCCTTGCACTGGGCAGGCTGTGGTGTGGGGCCTGCCTTGTCCTGCCCATCCTGGCTCTTACCTTTCCTGACTACACTTTCCCACCCATTTTCTAATGCCTGGGGCATGAGGACCCACTGAGACTGTTTCCACCTGCTGGTGCCCACTCCACAGGGGAAAAAGGCAGGTCCCCAGCTGACTTGTGTGGGACCTGCTGCAGACCAGCAGCCCCTCAGGTGGGGGATGTGTTCTTCTTCCCACTTGGGCTCTTCAGGGACATCCTTTGGGATGACTTTTGCTTGTCCTGGGGGATTTCTGCTGCTGCACATTGCTTGGGTCTCTCCAAAACCAGAACCTCACTCTGGGGCTCAACATGGCCAGCAACGTACAGGCAAGGCCAGATGTCTCCAGGATGTCATCTCCTGGAGCCTTCCTTGCCGTGAAGGCTGGGAATTGGTGAAGCCAACTGGGTTGTTCTTCCCTCCCCAGAGGGGCTGGTGCTGGCTGTGCTCAGAGAGGACAGCCCCCTCTGGCTGGAGCTCCCAGCACCCTGGTATCTCCCAACCTTCCCACCCCACTACCTTGCTCCAGGGCAGCACTGGTGAGGACACCACCTGCTTGGCTGTTGATGCCACCCCCACCCTTCCCCAGTTTGGGGGATTTGCTCCCTGCCACTGCCTCCAGGCTCTGGCCACTGAGCAAACGAGGCTGCTGGGGGTGTTTGTGGACACCCAACATGTTCACTCACTCAGGTGCTCCCCTGTGGCTCTGCAGTTGGGGCAAGATGTTTTTCTGTGGAAGGGAGCTGGGGGACAGCAGCCAGTGAGATGTCACCCCACCAGCCCAGAGCTGGCTTGGGCTCACCCCACAAAACCAGCACCAGGGCACATGTGGCCAAGTCCCTGAAAGAAAAGGGAAGAAAACCAACCTGGATAGAAATCCCAGTGTCCCTCAAAGCTCTGCTGGAGCTCCATGGGCCTGGCCCTTGGCATTGAGGTGGGACAGGGCAGGACTGTCCCTCAAAGCTCTGCTGGAGCTCCATGGGCCGGGAATGGCACGTGCCAGCAGCCTTTGGCATTGAGGTGGGACAGGTCAGCATGGGAGAGCCCAGGGAAAGGTGCTCAGCACAGGCTAAGGAAAAAGCAGGAACCTGCTGTGTTTATCGTGTCCCTGCTGGGCTGGGCTTGAGGGGTCTGGGCTCCTCCAAGCTGGACTTCTGAGCCTTTTCATGGAGAAAGGTAGCCCAAGGCAGCTGATGAGCTGCAGCCCTTCCCTGGAGAGGTGGCAGGAGGTCCTCCTTCCTCCCATGGCTCACCACACCTCAGGAACTGGCCATGGCCCCTCTGATTTCCAGAGAAAGATTCGCATGTAGAACAAGTCCAGGGACACTGTGATTTTCTCTCTTCATCTGTCCCTTCTGTAGGGCCAGGCTCTTCCCTCAGACCCTACTCCTGGGGGTCTGCAGCACGCTCTGGGACACGGAGTCCCAGGAGAATGGTGCTGGGACCTCACTGGGATGTTTGCCACTGAGCCCCAGCACTGCCTGGATGTTCCCTCATCCCTTAGGTCCCAGCCAGGGCCATCACAAGGGTTGTTACCTGTGCTCACCATGTCCTGCAGGCAATGGGGCTCTGGCTGTAGTCAGCTCCTGCAGCCTCAGCAGGTTGTGCCCACTTGCCCGTGGGTCACCACTGCCACCACCAGAGACCTGGTCCCCCACCCCAGCCCTGACACCCACATCCCTCCCTCCCACAGGAGCCCAGCACCGCGGTGCAGGATCGAGGAGCAACCGTGTGACGTGAGTGCTGGTCCCCAGCCCTGGGGCCACGGCTGGGGGGGGTGGGAAGGAGTTGGCAGTGTCCCTGCCCTGGTGACGGGGACAGGCTTGAACCCCCTTCTCCAGGAAGGCCCATTCTCAAGAAATGGGCAGGTCCTCTTGCCCAAGGGCAGACCCAGAGACAAGCAGAGCCTGGTTGTGTCCAGCGGGGGGACACCAGAGCCACGGGG